TATAATATATCATATTTTTGAAGTTTAAAGCCTTAGAAACCGAAAATTAAAGCAAAATCCTGCCAAAATGAGACTTTTGGTTCCTAGTTTTGAATTCCCGCCAGGCCCCCATGAGAGCAGTTAATTGCTACCAACTGTTGTAAGAATATTGAAACAGAATACTTAGCATAACAGTACTTGATAAAATCTTATTTGATCAAAAACCATTATTATACATTACTATCTATACTTTATTAAAGCTTTATAATCAGAATCAAGAGGAAATTTCCCTCAATCCGGTCAAGTCCTTTCACTACTGGTAGTGCCATCAATTTTCTAAAGTTGCCTAACTTGAAGCAAAATTACTCACGCTTTCTAAGCATTGGCTAGATTGGATGTTAGCGATCTGGACTAATCTGTGGCGCATTGGGCCCGACTTTAGGCGGGGAAGGTAAGACAGCTAGGGGGGTAAATCAGGGCAAAGACGCGCCTTCAGCCTAGTTGATACCGCCGGATATACGAACTAGGTGTACCCATATCAGGCAACGGCACTGGCATTTCCACGGATTCCACCATTGTCTCGCCGGTACACTTGCTGGGTTGCCTATCGTCTCGCTTGAAGGGAGCCTTGTCTCGCCGAAATTTCCTAATGCGCGGTCTAGATCGTATTATACGTCAATGGCACTTCTTGATAGACGAAAGATCGTCAGACGTTACTTGGTTCAGCTTGAAAAGTTAAGGCAGGAATCAAGATTGGACAATAATTAATGTCTGAAATCAAGCGCAAAGCTGTCATCACGCGAAAATAGAGTTCTAGTCGCGAAGATAGCCAACGGCCACTTTATGTCCCAAGCTCCAGCCACTCAGAATCAGTGGAAAAGAGATCAGCATGTCAGTGTCAATGGAAATTGAAACTAGGGCACAAATAACTCCATGAACAGTATTGTTAATTGGTACAAATCCGTCCTTGGTAATTGTCTCCTCGGAACGTTCCCTGTCGGTCCAGGCATTGAATCCAAAGACATAAAGACGGAGGGCTAAAAGCAAAAAATGAAGCTTCTTTTCAACCACCTCTACTATTGGCTAGAGGATTGGCGGGGAAATCGGGACAAGATTGAAATTCAAATGTAGGGCGGGAACTAAATAAAATTGCGGAAACAAAGTATTCTAGATTGATTTTTGCCCAAATTCACTTACACACTCATATTCTTTTAACTTTAGGTTAGTTTTGGTCCGTCGTCGACCGATTAATTTCATTTAGGAGTAACGGTCATCTAGCACTGTAACGTAGAGTACCTTTATAGACAGAGTATGGCCATTCGTATCTTTTTACTACAGGAAAACTGTTCCGCTTTTTGATTGGTCGACGAGTTTTTAGGCTTCATGATGCTCTGAAGGCCGTAAATAAACAAACAAAATGGCGGCTCACCGTAACATCGATAAGAAGCTAAATTTGACAAAAATTTCAATTATGCGGCAGTAAAAATTTAAACTAGCATGTCTACGAATAACACACGAAAAACACATGAAAACAGCGTTACATCGCCTTTCACCTTTATCACAGGAGGATGTATGATGTGCATAACCTCAATCTTGCTTGCTGATAACAGCCATCTTGTTTGTTTATTTACGGCCCTAAGAACATCGTGTCAGCCTATTTTCCCGCGACCAATGAAAAACCGGAACAGAAATGGCCATACTCTGTCTATAAAGGTACTAACCAAACCTGGACACAACACAATAGTAGTTTGCTCGGAAAGGTCCTCATATGCGAAGGTTTCTTGCAAGTGATTTAATATAACAACGTACAATAATTATTCACGGTTTATTAGCCAATACATATTTAAATTGATAATTACCAAAAAATAAAAATACCACTTTCTTAATAGTTAACTTGTTTTAAAAGTAATAATTTAATGCATTTTATGCAAAAACGATAATTAATAAAATGTGATTAAATGAAACAGCACATGACCATTAATACTGTTCATTGAATAACTATGCAGTAAATATATGAACACCTGACACAACTAAAAATTAATATGATAAAAGAATGATACAACAGCATACAACGTCTGTGCATAGGTATAATAGGCCTGTTGCAAACTTATTTCAAAATATATTTCTACAACAATGGCAATGCTGTTTCTGAACTACTGTTGTTAAAACTATACAATTTGTTTAAGAAACCAGAAGGGAATTGCACAACATCGCCTGCATTTTCACTTTTGGAGTAGGGTCGTATGATACATTCCAGCGACACAGTTTGAATTTCACGTCCTCGGCAAAAGGCAACTTTTTTATCATCATGAGCACTTCTTCACTGTTTCCAGAGGGCACTAAGTCATAAAAATGTGCTGTCCAAATGTCACGGCAGACATAAGATAGATCTACTAAGATTGCCCAGTTTAGACTTTGGCCCACGAATATCAGTCTCTTGGAGGATCCAATTCCCTTTTTCATTAATTCGTCACCGATTAATCTGATTTTAAAGTACACATTTTCGGCAATTTTGTCGGTTGAATCATAATCCAAAAGTGAAAGCGATTTAGCATGCTTAAATGGAAACTGGGTAAAAAAATCCGAAATTACAAAGTAATTAGACCCAAAAGCATTTTTATTTGGATTGTTCTTGCAAGACTTTGCATTTTCATCTATTTCAGAAACCTTTTTTTCTTCGAATTCAGCAGCAGCACTTTGTTCCAAAGCCTTTTTTTCTTCGAATTCAGCGGCAGCACTTTGTTCCAAACTGTTGATGGGAATGGGAGAAACAGTCTCAGATTTGCTTCCCATGGCCATGTTTGCCTTAAATGGCTTAGCGAACACTCCAGGATATCCTTGACAGAGAAATTATAGAATTACGAAACATACTTGTTACAGAGAGAATTCTGTCATGAGCAGAAAACCAGTGGGTTTTATGGGAAAGAACGAACGCGCTCGGCTAAGCTAACGATACATGACGAGCATTTTATTGAGGTAAAAAGCATAGTAGTACAGAGAGTAGCATAGAGAGAGAGCAGCTATAGTGCGGTGGATGCCCAGCAGAGGGCAGCACCATACGGTGGGTAGTTTATCACTGACACACCCCCTTAAACTACATAGAGGAGTCAGAAAAGTTTCAAAAAAAAAAACATGAAATTTTCTTTAAAGAAAAAAATATTCAGATAAACAATTTCAGAAATAAAAACACATGAAATTTATCGGCTAGATAAACAATTTCAAAAATAAAAACACATGAAATTTATCGGCAGCGCTTAAGGTTTATAAAAGAAAAATAAGTGAAGTAGGAAAATGAACTCTAGAGGTAAGAGCATTTAGTGAAGACCTAAAGCGTCACAAAACTGGTTGTGTTTAGGAACGCAAAGAGACTTTGTTAATATGTCTGCGGGCATGTCCTCTGTGGGGACATAGCATAGAGTGACAATATTCCTATCTATAATGTCGCGAACATAATGGTAGCGAATGTCTATATGCTTGGTACGCTTGTGAAAAACAGGATTCATTGCCAGTTTAGCTGCGCCCTAATTGTCACAGGAGAGTTCTAGTGGCTTACAATGAGAAAGTGAAATCGGGTTATTACAGAATAAGAGTTCATCAATCAGTCCTTTCAGATAGACAGCTTCTTTAGCAGCTTCAGATAAAGCAATACAGGGTGATCCAAAAGTCCCTTCCACCCCCTCTAACTTTTTACCTAATTGAGGTAAAGATTTGAAACTTGGGGGATACTCCTAGGTCAAAGGGAGCTACTTTTTGGCCCCCCTAAAATTTTCAGGGGGGCCCCCCTTGGGGGGGCAACGGCCCCCAACTTTTAATTTTCAAATGGGAAGACCCCCTTTGTGATAGCTCGTTCGAAAGAGCATAAAAAAAGAAAACTTTTCGCGCAAACCCGAAGTCAATATCTCAAACCGTTTCAAAATGGCGGCCGGTTAAAGTTCAAAATGGCCGAAAATTCACACCGGTTATTTGTCGATGGATTTGCGCGAAAATCGGAATGTAGAGGTATTTTGACACGAGAAAAACGAATTTGACGTTAGATTTTCAAAAAAACCAAAATTTACAAAATGGCCGTCGGTTGAAGTTTAAAATTGCCGAAAATTTTCACCTCGGTTTTTTCCTGATAGATTTGCCTAGAACTTGGAATTTGAGAGTATTTTGGCAGAAGATAAACAAATTTGAACTTAAATTTCTAAAAAAAATCAATTTTTGGTCATTTTGAACTTTAACCGGCGGCCATTTTGGAAATTTTGGTTTTTTTGAAAATCTAACGTCAAATTCGTTTTTCTCGTGTCAAAATACCTCTACATACCGATTTTCGCGCAAATCCATCGACAAATAACCGGTGTGAATTTTCGGCCATTTTGAACTTTAACCGGCCGCCATTTTGAAACGGTTTGAGATATTGACTTCGGGTTTGCGCGAAAAGTTTTCTTTTTTTATGCTCTTTCGAACGAGCTATCACAAAAGGGGTCTTCCCATTTGAAAATTAAAAGTTGGGGGCCGTTGCCCCCCCAAGGGGGGCCCCCCTGAAAATTTTAGGGGGGCCAAAAAGTAGCTCCCTTTGACCTAGGAGTATCCCCCAAGTTTCAAGTCTTTATCTCAATTAGGTAAAAAGTTAGAGGGGGTGGAAGGGACTTTTGGATCACCCTGTATATTCAGATTCTGTACTGGACAGGGAAACGCAATTTTGTTTCCTGGAGCACCAAGAAATAGCCCCATCACTGAGTTTAAAGACAAACCCTGAGTAGGAGCGTCTGTCTATTGCGCAACTGCCCCAGTCTGCATCGACAAAACATCATTCTTTCATCATTTCTTTTTCTCTTGCCTCGGTTGAAAAACATAGTTTTTTAGCACAAGTACCTTTTAGGTATCTCAAAACTCTTTGGGCATAATGGAAATGTTCAGGAGTGTAACAGGTGTTAAATTGACTAAGCTTATTTACAGCAAAACAAATATCAGGACGAGTATTGACTGCTATGTAAGTTAAACAGCCAATTAAACTTTAGTATGGGATATTTGGTATGTTTGTAACATCACCTTTGACAAGCGAGAGATTTGGTTCCATGGGAGTTTTAGCTGGCTTTGCATCAGTTAATCCAAATTTAACTAAGATTTCATGGATATAATGCTCCTGATCAAGAGAAATGGAACCATCTGGCGAATAATTGACATTCATGCCAAGACATCTTTTTGCTTTGCCGAGATCAACCATTCGGAAAGCTGACATTAAAATTGATGTTAATTTATTACATTCATCATCAGATTCAGTTAGAATGAAAAAATCATCGACAAACAAGGCAACATAAAACTTTTTTTCATTTACATTTTTGAGATAAATACAAGGATCATGATTACTTTGCTTGAAACCAAGTTCAAGTAATTTGCTGTGAGCTTTTTGATTCCACATGCGTGAGGCTTGCTTCAGACCATAAATGGCTCGTTTCAATAAACAAACTTTCTCTTCCTGACCTTCAGCAACAAATTTTTCAGGCTGCTTCATGTACACTGTCTCATGTAGGTCACCATTTAAAAAAGCAGTTTTAACATCGAGGTGACGGATTTGCAAATTAAAGAGGTTGTTCCAAAAACGCCGATTTTGGCCCCCCCCTGGATTCGGCCCAAACTTTGCTCAGATGTTGTACTAAGTGTCCCCGACGCTTGGGCAAAATTTCAGCCCCCTCGGATAATTAGGGGAGAGGGGGCAGGGGGGCAAAGTTGCAATTTTTTTAAAACTTTAAAAATCGATATCTCGCGAACGGTTTGAGTGTAAGTGTCGCGGTTTGCGCTAAAAAACGTTAAAAAATATTCTCTACAAGAATATTTATGCTGTTTGCAAGGTTGCCTAATTTATCGCGGTCATAAATCGATTTTTTCGATTTTGAAGGTTCGACTTTTTTTCGTTTTTCG